CGATGTTCCTCATGTGTCCTCGGTGTTCCTCATGTGTTCCTCAAGGAACAAGCTTGGAACACCTTGGAACACGTGTTCCGGGTCGTGTTCCTCGATGTTCCTCATGTGTTCCTCGGTTTCCTCATGTGTTCCTCAAGGAACAAGCTTGGAACACCTTGGAACACGTGTTCCGGGTCGTGTTCCTCGATGTTCCTCGTGTGTTCCTCGGTGTTCCTCATGTGTTCCTCAAGGAACAAGCTTGGAACACCTTGGAACACGTGTTCCGCGTCGTGTTCCTCGATGTTCCTCGGTGGTTTCCTCATGTGTTCCTCAAGGAACAAGCTTGGAACACCTTGGAACACGTGTTCCGGGTCGTGTTCCTCTGTATTGTTCCTCATGTGTTCCTCAAGGAACAAGCTTGGAACACCTTGGAACACGTGTTCCGGGTCGTGTTCCTCGATGTTCCTCATGTGTTCCTCGGTGTTCCTCATGTGTTCCTCAAGGAACAAGCTTGGAACACCTTGGAACACGTGTTCCGGGTCGTGTTCCTCGGTTTTTGTTCTGTGTTCCTCATGTGTTCCTCAAGGAACAAGCTTGGAACACCTTGGAACACGTGTTCCGGGTCGTGTTCCTCGATGTTCCTCATGTGTCCTCTGTTCCTCATGTGTTCCTCAAGGAACAAGCTTGGAACACCTTGGAACACGTGTTCCGGGTCGTGTTCCTCGATGTTCCTCATGTGTTCCTCGGTGTTCCTCATGTGTTCCTCAAGGAACAAGCTTGGAACACCTTGGAACACGTGTTCCGGGTCGTGTTCCTCGATGTTCCTCATGTGTTCCTCGGTGTTCCTCATGTGTTCCTCAAGGAACAAGCTTGGAACACCTTGGAACACGTGTTCCGGGTCGTGTTCCTCGATGTTTCCTCATGTGTTCCTCAAGGAACAAGCTTGGAACACCTTGGAACACGTGTTCCGGGTCGTGTTCCTCGATGTTCCTCATGTGTTCGGTGTTCCTCATGTGTTCCTCAAGGAACAAGCTTGGAACACCTTGGAACACGTGTTCCGGGTCGTGTTCCTCGATGTTCCTCATGTGTTCCTCGGTGTTCCTCATGTGTTCCTCAAGGAACAAGCTTGGAACACCTTGGAACACGTGTTCCGGGTCGTGTTCCTCGATGTTCCTCATGTGTCCTCGGTGTTCCTCATGTGTTCCTCAAGGAACAAGCTTGGAACACCTTGGAACACGTGTTCCGGGTCGTGTTCCTCGTGGGTTGTTCCTCATGTGTTCCTCAAGGAACAAGCTTGGAACACCTTGGAACACGTGTTCCGGGTCGTGTTCCTCGATGTTCCCTCATGTGTTCCTCAAGGAACAAGCTTGGAACACCTTGGAACACGTGTTCCGGGTCGTGTTCCTCGATGTTCCTCATGTGTTCCTCGGTGTTCCTCATGTGTTCCTCAAGGAACAAGCTTGGAACACCTTGGAACACGTGTTCCGAGTGTTCCTCGTGTTCCTCATGTGTTCCTCAAGGAACAAGCTTGGAACACCTTGGAACACGTGTTCCGGGTCGTGTTCCTCGATGTTCCTCATGTGTTCCTCGGTGTTCCTCATGTGTTCCTCAAGGAACAAGCTTGGAACACCTTGGAACACGTGTTCCGGGTCGTGTTCCTCGATGTTCCTCATGTTCCTCGGTGTTCCTCATGTGTTCCTCAAGGAACAAGCTTGGAACACCTTGGAACACGTGTTCCGGGTCGTGTTCCTCGATGTTCCTCATGTGTTCCTCGGTGTTCCTCATGTGTTCCTCAAGGAACAAGCTTGGAACACCTTGGAACACGTGTTCCGGGTCGTGTTCCTCGATGTTCCTCATGTGTTCCTCAAGGAACAAGCTTGGAACACCTTGGAACACGTGTTCCGGGTCGTGTTCCTCGATGTTCCTCATGTGTTCCTCGGTGTTCCTCATGTGTTCCTCAAGGAACAAGCTTGGAACACCTTGGAACACGTGTTCCGGGTCGTGTTCCTCGATGTTCCTCATGTGATCCTCGGTGTTCCTCATGTGTTCCTCAAGGAACAAGCTTGGAGCACCTTGGAACACGTGTTCCGGGTCGTGTTCCTCGATGTTCCTCATGTGTTCCTCGGTGTTCCTCATGTGTTCCTCAAGGAACAAGCTTGGAACACCTTGCAACACGTGTTCCGGGTAGTGTTCCTCGGTGTTCCTCATGTGTTCCTCAAGGAACAAGCTTGGAACACCTTGGAACACGTGTTCCGGGTCGTGTTCCTCGATGTTCCTCATGTGTTCCTCCGTGTTCCTCATGTGTTCCTCAAGGAACAAGCTTGGAACACCTTGGAACACGTGTTCCGGGTCGTGTTCCTCGATGTTCCTCATGTGTTCCTCGGTGTTCCTCATGTGTTCCTCAAGGACCAAGCTTGGAACACCTTGGAACACGTGTTCCGGGTCGTGTTCCTCGATGTTCCTCATGTGTTCCTCGGTGTTCCTCATGTGTTCCTCAAGGAACAAGCTTGGGAACACACTTTGGGAACACGTGTTCCGGGTCGTGTTCCTCGATCTCGTGTATCCTCAAGGAACAAGCTGGAACACCTTGGAACACGTGTTCCGGGTCGTGTTCTCGATGTTCCTCATGTGATCTTCGGTGTTCCTCATGTCTTCCTCAAGGAACAAGCTTGGAACACCTTGGAACACGTGTTCCGGGTCGTGTTCCTCGATGTTCCTCATGTGATCCTCGGTGTTCCTCATGTGTTCCTCAAGGAACAAGCTTGGAGGCACCTTGGAACACGTGTTCCGGTCGTGTTCCTCGATGTTCCTCATGTGTTCCTCGGTGTTCCTCATGTGTTCCTCAAGGAACAAGCTTGGAACACCTTGGAACACGTGTTCCGGGTCGTGTTCCTCCGGTGTTCCTCATGTGTTCCTCAAGGAACAAGCTTGGAACACCTTGGAACACGTGTTCCGGGTCGTGTTCCTCGATGTTCCTCATGTGTTCCTCAAGGAACAAGCTTGGAACACCTTTTAACACGTGTTCCGGGTCGTGTTCGTCGATGTTCCTCATGTGTTCCTCGGTGTTCCTCATGTGTTCCTCAAGGAACAAGCTTGGAACACCTTGCAACACGTGTTCCGGGTAGTGTTCCTCGGTGTTCCTCATGTGTTCCTCAAGGAACAAGCTTGGAACACCTTGGAACACGTGTTCCGGGTCGTGTTCCTCGATGTTCCTCATGTGTTCCTCGGTGTTCCTCATGTGTTCCTCAAGGAACAAGCTTGGAACACCTTGGAACACGTGTTCCGGGTCGTGTTCCTCGATGTTCCTCATGTGTTCCTCGGTGTTCCTCATGTGTTCCTCAAGGAACAAGCTTGGAACACCTTGGAACACGTGTTCCGGGTCGTGTTCCTCGATGTTCCTCATGTGTTCCTCGGTTTGCTCATGTGTTCCGCAAGGAACAAGCTTCGAACACCTTGGAACACGTGTTCCCGGTCGTGTTCCTCGATGTTCCTCATGTGTTCCTCAAGGAACAAGCTGGGAACACCTTGGAACACGTGTTCCGGGTCGTGTTCCTCGATGTTCCTCATGTGATCTTCGGTGTTCCTCATGTCTTCCTCAAGGAACAAGCTTGGAACACCTTGGAACACGTGTTCCGGGTCGTGTTCCTCGATGTTCCTCATGTGATCCTCGGTGTTCCTCATGTGTTCCTCAAGGAACAAGCTTGGAGCACCTTGGAACACGTGTTCCGGGTCGTGTTCCTCGATGTTCCTCATGTGTTCCTCGGTGTTCCTCATGTGTTCCTCAAGGAACAAGCTTGGAACACCTTGGAACACGTGTTCCGGGTCGTGTTCCTCGGTGTTCCTCATGTGTTCCTCAAGGAACAAGCTTGGAACACCTTGGAACACGTGTTCCGGGTCGTGTTCCTCGATGTTCCTCATGTGTTCCTCAAGGAACAAGCTTGGAACACCTTTTAACACGTGTTCCGGGTCGTGTTCGTCGATGTTCCTCATGTGTTCCTCGGTGTTCCTCATGTGTTCCTCAAGGAACAAGCTTGGAACACCTTGCAACACGTGTTCCGGGTAGTGTTCCTCGGTGTTCCTCATGTGTTCCTCAAGGAACAAGCTTGGAACACCTTGGAACACGTGTTCCGGGTCGTGTTCCTCGATGTTCCTCATGTGTTCCTCCGTGTTCCTCATGTGTTCCTCAAGGAACAAGCTTGGAACACCTTGGAACACGTGTTCCGGGTCGTGTTCCTCGATGTTCCTCATGTGTTCCTCGGTGTTCCTCATGTGTTCCTCAAGGAACAAGCTTGGAACACCTTGGAACACGTGTTCCGGGTCGTGTTCCTCGATGTTCCTCATGTGTTCCTCGGTGTTGCTCATGTGTTCCGCAAGGAACAAGCTTGGAACACCTTGGAACACGTGTTCCGGGTCGTGTTCCTCGATGTTCCTCATGTGTTCCTCAAGGAACAAGCTGGGAACACCTTGGAACACGTGTTCCGGGTCGTGTTCCTCGATGTTCCTCATGTGATCTTCGGTGTTCCTCATGTCTTCCTCAAGGAACAGGCTTGGAACACCTTGGAACACGTGTTCCGGGTCGTGTTCCTCGATGTTCCTCATGTGTTCCTCGGTGTTCCTCATGTGTTCCTCAAGGAACAAGCTTGGAACACCTTGGAACACGTGTTCCGGGTCGTGTTCCTCGATGTTCCTCATGTATTCCTCGGTGTTCCTCATGAAGTAAGGCCTTGAGCCGATATTGGCGTGGGTGTGCCTGACCGTGTGTAGGAGGAGTCAGGAGGACGCTGGCGAATGGGGGGTGTCGCCCCCACTGTCATGTGTCGGTGGCGACGAATGGGACGCGGTGGTGCCATGGGCATGCGTCGACGACGACGAATGGGGCACCACCGCGTCTTATCATGCGCTAAAGTGTGTACATGCGCAAGTAAATAAAATATATATGTATGCATGTATTTATGTAAATATGTATGTAAATATTTATTTGGATATGTGCAAGTGCATATATAAAAAAAAACATCTCATCTCTAATGGCCGAACCGGTCGGGCTTTTTGGTTTTGCGACCACTGCGTCGAAAATCGAGGGGAGGCGATTCAACCTCCACGGCCACCTCCACCAAAGGCACTTTGTTGACGTCGCCGCCGACATTTTCATCTCCTGCTTCCGCTGCTGCTGCTGCGACAACTTCCTCCTCCCCCTCCTCCTCTGGAAATAAATAAGGAGAAATTGAGTGAGTGAGTGATATATATATAATGTGAATGGTATGATTACCATTCACAACGGCCTCCACTGGAGCCTCTTCTTCTTCTGGGAGGTCAATTCCCCTTGCGTCCCTGATTGGGGTCCCTTGAGGAACACCGCGAAAGAGCGTCAGCTCACTCTCTGCTGACCCCGATCTACAAAACAATAACAAAAGTTATTTATGTATGTATGTATGTAGATATATATATATTGATGTACGTAGATATGTATGTATATATGTAGATAAATATATATTTATGCATGTAGATATGTATGTATGTAGATAAATATATATGTAGGTACCTTTGCCTACGTCTAAAGGCGATTGTCCATGGGTCGTCGTCGTCGACGAGACGACGGTAGCCGTCTCGCTCGTGACGACGACGACGGAGTCGCCTAACCGCAGCAACTGCTGCAACCACGCCCACCCCCAGGAGAACCAGGGTGGTAACGCCGAGGCCAAAACCTATGGCATAATAATACTTATAATAATAATAATATTTATGTGTGTCACTTCATTTGCATAAATCTCGTTGGCTTTCCATGTTGAATAAACTCTCGCGAATGTGTCAAAGTATGCAAATGAGGTGGCTAGCACAAATATATTTCGCAGGTGAGCTTACCTGCGGCGAACCACCCATCTATGGATTCAGGGGGTGGGGTGGTAGTAGGGATGAGGGTCTGGCATGTGTCCAAATTCGCCACGACCTGTACAAAGTAGTCAGGCCGTGGGAGATTTGGCGAGAAGCAGATTTGGCTGCCGTCGACCCTCACCCGCCAATAATTCCTGCTTTTGACGCAGTCCACACAATTCTTGGGAAGGTCCATCTGCAAAAAAAAACTAAAAATATTTGCAAAATATTAAATTTTAAAAAACCTTACTTTGTTGTTTTTATTATTTAGCTTGGTGGTGGTGGTGGTGGAGAAACAAAGTATGAGCCGGGTGAGTGAGCGAGCGGTGCAGCCACAGATATGTAGTTCGCATAGATCCTCGGTCTGACTCCAATGTTAAAAACTTGGCAAATTTTTGAACGAAACTAAATCCTGCTCCAACTTTTGCCCAAATGAAAAAATGGGACAAAGTGATAACGAACTACTTATCTGTGGATAAAATCAGGCCGGCTCAGTTTTAGTGGGATTGCGAATTAAGGGTTTTTACACAAATTTCTCCGTTTAGGGAGATTGTAAATTAATGGTTTTACATTAATTCTTAGTTTAGGGAGATTGGGAATTGAGTGTTTTTACACTAAATTCTCATGTAAATGCCAAGTTTGCTATGAATTCATTAAATTCTGCTAGTCTCGGATTTTGTTTGGCGCAACGTCGAAATTGGTAAAGTCGGCTTATGTAGAGTGATTGCTTTGCAAATTAATAAATCGCAAAGGCAACCACCCCCCTCAAGACCCGCCAAAACCATAACCAAACAAATTGCCTTTCTTTAAATAAAATATATCAATATGGCGGGGAAAGGCTTACGAAAAATTTATGTATTAAACATTTAAAGGAGGAGGGAAACATTTTTCAAATACGCATTTTTGTAAAATTGACTTTTTAATTACAATGACAGACAATACTAAGCTTATTATTAAAATTTCTAAATAACCTTTTACAATATTTACAATTGATTCGTGCGAATTGCTACATTGGCAATCACGACGTAAAGATACGGTTTTGAACTTGTACGGAATAATATCCAAGCATTGCTCGGGATTCCATCGAATGTCCAAAATTAAATTTTCGTCGGCTGCAAATTCTTCCACTTTTGATGTGCACGTGCTTTGTGCAAGTGATGAGTTTGCAGACATGTAAATTAGAAAAGCATGTGACGCGAGCTGGGTACAGTCTCTGCACTCCATGTCAACGTCCAGCCTTGCTGCCACTGAGGTGGCGGCGACGACGACGACCACAATGACGAGAGGAAATGAACGCATGTTGCCGATTAGAGGCGGTGGAGTCTACTGCAAGAACTTTGATGATTGCAATCGACCAAGTGTCGATTATCCAATTGACAGCGCATGCGAAACTTCTTTACGAATTTCACCACCTCGTTATCGTTGAAACGACTTGGAAATGCAGTGAATCGTTTGAGAATCTCTTCCGGCCTATAATTTCTTGCGAAATAATAAGTCATGTACACTACGTAATAGCCACAAACTGAGCTATCCAGCATTTGTAGATTTGAAAAATTCGCTGTTATAATTGGGAAATTTAACTTTGGAAACTTGTAATCTATATAATTTCTCCCATAACTGTCTATGAAGGTCCCATAAATCTGACCACCACTACGGTCTCTATCCACCCAAAGGAAGAGCCAGTGAGTTCCAGTTTCACTACTGTTTTGCTCGTTGAATCCAATAGCTGCTGGCAACGATGATTCGAATGTAATTGAGGGTAGAGCGTCGCGTGGAACAACGTGGACACTCTTTACTCTGGTGTTTGAAACGGCACAGCGCATCAAGTATAACAATTGGTCAGTATTCATTCTGCTAGTGTTGGTCAGCTTCGAGTGTTGCGATACGGTTAGAGTCGATTGTTATTAAACCTTGAAACACTCCAAGGGCCATGACCATGACACTTGATGTGAGCGGTGCAGCAAAGCGAAGTTCAACTGTTACGTTTCCTTCCCTCGTGTTCAGATATTTACTCATCCTCTGTATCGGGTTCATGTCGAGCACGACAAAGAATGAGCCAGATAGATACGAGTCTCTCGTAATGTCTTGACCAGATTCTGCGTCATCGAGAGCGTTGAAAATCGAATTGTATCCAATAAGACCATTTGTTGAGGAGATTTCCAAGTTTTGAAATATGATTGGCACACCATCGATCATAGCACGTATTGAAGTTAAGCTAGAAGGGGTGAACCGAAATGGTGACTTTTTAATGTCTCCGTGAAACCGAGCAGGATCGAGCAGAGTCAAAATTAAAATTCGGGGGATAGTGGACCTAAACAAAGGTTCGCTTATAATTGTCTGTGCGTCTTTGCTCGCTGTAAAAATTCTCGATTCGATAATCTGCGTAGGGTATGAAAACTTTTGTCTAGCAGACAACAGCTTGTGATGCGATGCAACGATCGCTGGATTAACCAGCACGCGCTTTACATACAATTGACAAGCGGACCACTTTAACTTGAATGGAGCTGGATCGGTCGCTTTTGCAGCAGGAGAAATCGAATCAAGATGGAAATGAGAATCTGAACGTTTGAGAACGATGCGAAAGGAACAATCAGTTGGGAAATATCTGTTTTGAAAAACTGCTTCAAACAGATTTCCAGTGATTTCACAATCAATACTGTTTGCGAAATAAGAAACGCGTTTCGTAAATCCCGTATTTGCGTCATCGATGGTATCAGAGGTGTCAGGAAAATATAATTGACTTTGTAACTTGGAAGTCTTACTTGCAGCCGAATGAGTCAATGTGTCTACAATATGCTTCTTGTAAGCATAAAGTCCGTCGTCTGAACGGCTAACTAGATTATTATTAATTTCTACGCTAATACTACTGAACAAGGCAGCAAACAAATTATGACACCCAGCGACCTTGTCTGTGGCTGCCAACTTTGTCGCGTCTGCCTTCACGATAGAAAATTTACAATACAGGAAGTGACTATTCGGGCCAAAATCGGTATATAATTGCTGGCTTGGGGGCACAATAATTTCAATCGGAGCATTAGAATTGCTAATTGCCGTGGTGGGAAAGAATGTAAAATATTCGCTGCTAATGATACTCGAATCGGTAGGTGGAATGGCAAATAAATTTAATTCCGGTCGAGAGATCAACGTCGACCTTTCAAATGCCGGGCCGGTTTCCATTTCTACTTTTGCTTTCGTCGTTTCGTTGTTTTCTTTTTTGCTGGCGACTTTCTCTTTTTTTTGATTGGAGGAGCACTTGCTTTCTGTCCAACCTTCTTTTTCCTACTGACGCTACGTTTCTTCCCGCCTCCTACTTGTGGCTTCTTGCGTTTAATTGTCTTAGATTTTTGATTGATCCCCCGAAGCGAGAGTTGACCTGTGCTAGTGACGTCGTCATGAAAAGCAATTCCATGGCCAATTTGCTGTTTATCCGACTTACTCTGCCTGATATAGCAGACATTTTCTGAAGGAGGACACCTTACCGTCTTCATTATTGCAGAAATTTTCTCCGCACGTGAAGTGTTACTGAAGTAGGGATCTGCTCTTCGACCAAATGCCTATTGTACTCGTCCGTCAACCAAATGTGGACTGAAGAAAGTTCACTTCGCGACACACCATAAAAGCGAATTGGCTCAAACTTCATAGTCACAATTTCTCCGAGTGCATACGTCGGCGGAAGAATTCGAATGACGCGATGCACTTCTGAACCAATGACGTGTTCACAACTCATATCACAATGGACAAATATTTGTCCAATTGGATTAATCGGTAGCTCTGGTTTTGGTTGAACTGGTGGAGCTAACTTAAATAAATAAGCCGGCACAAAGAGATCATTCTGAATTTGGTCTAACACAAAATCTATTGAAATGTCAAATAATTTAGATATGCAGGGAGGAATTTAAATTGAACTGATTCTGTAAATATCACGAAACGTAACATCAAATTTTCTTCGTATTCAGCTGTTCCAATTTTCAAACCGGGAACGGTTTTAAATGCCGCTCCCATTGAATTCAACAAGGAAGATAGGGTATATGATTCTGGTTCTTCCACTGTGACTACAAACGGCTCTCTTATCCCCAGGTTTACCGAAAAAACCGTCTCAGGAGCAAGGTCCTTTAAATCGTCATCTCGCACGTCAAGGTCGCCAAGAAACGTTCCAGAACTTGGAAAATGAACTGAATTAAATCCAAGGACTTGAGCTAGACTCGGAGACAAATACAATTCTCTTCCTTGAGGATCGTTAATGTCTATTCTAGCGTTTAATATGTCTGGTGGTGAAACTATACTGAAGGAAAATGTCACATTTATTTTTGATTTTTGCAGTACATCGTTAAGCTGTTTAATCAATTTTTCCAATGATACTGTTTGGCCTCTTGAAACATTCCATTGGTCCTTTGTAATCCAGGTCAAATCAATATTTCCATCCGAAGGAGTCTCAAAGAACTTTGGTATGGGGATGGGTGGGAGCGGCTTTGGTGGGAGTGGTTCTATTTTAGTCGCTGGTGCTTGGAATGTAATTTCAGTCATGCCAATTTCAAAAGAGCTCGGTGGATCAAGTGAGATTCTCTTGTAGATCGTATTTCTGAAATTGGCAGAATGATTGCTTGGAAATAATTCCAAGCAGTCACTCGAACGCAGAGTAATGAAATGATCCAAGTTCATGACTGGTTTCTTAGGGAGGTAATCTTTTGCAGTGAAATATCTAAAATATTCTACAGGCTTCATTCGTCGTCTAGTTTCTCTTTGTTGGTTTTAGTTAATTCAGCCTGATAAAACATACCAGGTAATTCTTCAGGGATTTTGCCCGTTGTCATCAAGCGGATAAACGGAACTGGAAATTGCTTAATAATCTCACTAATTTTATATACGACAGGCTCAAATCTTTGAACGTACCCCTTTATGAAGACACTCTTGTTATGGCGCAGCCGCTTAGAGCTTACCAAAACTAGATCGCCTACTGCGAATCGAATTTTTTCCGGCTTCTGCGTAATAAATTTATTATACACGTTATGCCATAGATGATCATTATCCTTTGCGGTATTCTTCATCTTTGCCGGGACCCCCTGTATTGTATTGTTGAAACTATTATTGATTGAATATACAATATCGTTTAAAGCATCTACATATCGAGTACTCTTCGTTTTGGTTTGATAATGGCTGATTTTATTCTTGAGCGTCTTTATTTGTGTTTCGACCAAACTCGCTTTCAAAGGGGAGTAGTTTGCAATCAGTTTGACCCCGTTCTTTTTTAAAAATTCC